CCTTCGTTCACGGTCACGAACGGTAGGAACTTTGACCAGTTCAATAAAGATATTTATTGGTCATTGAGAAATATAGATCCATGCATTATCTCGATCACGGATAGATCTGGAGCACATGGTCGACTTTGAAAGAACGGCTCGTCCCTTCGACCCGGAATCCGACAAAAAGTTCCTAGCGAGACTCTTGTCTGTTCGCGTGCACCAGGAACAATGGGTGTACACTTGAAGCAGGTAACAATACTTCCGATAATAATACACGGACGAACGTAAAAGTTGGTACGTGGCCAAGTTTCTCGGCTGGACTAAGCTCGGAAAACAAAAGAATCTTGTGAACGAAGGTCTTCTTCTCGAACAAAGATTCCAGATAATTGTACATTTTTCGGCGGTCTAACAGGGCCATCGAGAAAGGCGCGATTAATTAAATGAAGAAATGATCATTTGAAATATTTTCAATTCGGTGGATATTAGTATTGAAATTGATTTGGAAGAAATACATTCAATTAATTGAAGCAGTCAATGAATTCGTAAACGTGATAAGAATAATGATGTGAAACTGTTCTAGGAACTTCATGCACAATTATGTAATATGAAATGCATGATTATTCATTATTATCCGATTTAATGTGTAAGCATCACGTTTAATTACGGTAATTACATAGATGTTTACCTATCTCTGGTTAGAAGGTGAATCTTACTATCCATTCACGATCGAAACGATAAATTTAATCAGATCGTACGTTCGGTAGAACAAGTGTATAGTAGATTGGCAAATCGCCAAGAATCTCGGTTCAGTGCCGCTTAAGTTTTACGTAAGCAAATCTGACGTTCTATCGCTTTACAAAATTGATTACCTTCAAAAATTTCATGTCTGATTCCTTCTAATCGTGTAATTATCTGTCGAAAACATATTATTGCAAATCGTACACGATAAACCGTGGTACGACAATATCGTTGGTAAATTTCACGATTACATAGGAAAACAAATTAATTTAAGAATTTCATAGTAAGCCAGAATGCTTTAAAATTTCAAATGAACGCAGATAAATCATCAGCAATTTTTCTGCATGAATCGTATAGAAGATTGCGCAACGTATCGTTGACTAATCGCCGAGTCCTTGTTGATTCTGCTGTAAAATTGTTTTCCATTGTACTATTCCTGGATGAATTGGACATGTACGTTTGCTGTTAATCATCCGTCTTACTACGCGTGATTACGCTGTTCTATGAAGTTCTGGCACAAACAACGGAGTACAAGTCACGTTTCAAGTCTTGACGACTTTTATCATTAAGATTCATTCTGACAAATCATTTGTATTCCCAGTTATTCAACCCTCGGTCGGCGGACCATGGAGAGAGCCACAATTCTAATTGAATTTTTCATTTTATATTATTTTCATTTTGCTTGGAACCTTTTGCGTAACTCTTCAAACGAACAGAGTACAACGATGCCGAGCAAACTGGATCGATGAATTTTTTGAAACTGTTCCTCTCGATAAAGAGAATAAAAAAAGAGAAAAAATGTTACTGGTACAGCGCAACAGTATGCCAAGTGAAAGGTACAAAACGAGGCTGCGTTTCAATTTTAATCGCTTCGTTTTATGGGAATACTCGAAACACCTTTCGAAACAACGATGTTATTTGCTTTTTAATCAAAGACCATCTGCACTGTCTTATTTTTTCAGCCGTTCTCGGCAAAACTTAAGAGGTAAAGCTTAAAAATATATATATATTGATAAACTTTTCATCCATAATTGGCGGCAACTTCAAAACGAATGCGAGCTAAAAGTCTTCTCGTTCTCGCTTGTTTCGCGAGATAGGGTGCCAAGACTTGTTCTCGTTTCGAAACTTCATTTTTACCTTATCCTGACACACGGAAATAATAAATACAAGTTGCATTAATCAAATAAACCCCGGTGCTGTACAATGCCTTGTATAAACGGAAGCTGCACTTGATCGTATCAATGATCGACTGAAAATTGATTAAATAAATTTTTGATCGTTGATAATTTGTTTATAATAAAATTTAAATATCTTATAATTAATCTTGCATGGACATGTGCGATACCTTTACGAATTTTCGTTTATTGCGATAAGATTCCACCTTCCTTTTTTTATTATATAATATATTTTTTTATATAAACGAAACTTCGTAAGGGTATCGCATACGTCGATAGAAGATTAATTACAAGATATCTAAATTTCATTATAAACAAAATATTAACGATCAAAAATTTATTTAATCAATTTTCAGTCGATCATTGATACGATCAAGTGCAACTTCCGTTTATATAAGGCATTGTACATATTTGTTATAAACAAATTATCAACGATCAATAATTTATTTAATCAATTTACAGTCGATCATTGATACGATCAAGTGCAACTTCCGTTTATATAAGGCATTGTACAGCACCGGGGATTATTTGATCAGATAATTCAACTTGTATTTATTATTACCGTGTGTCAGGATAAGGTAAAAATGAAGTTTCGAAACGAGAACAAGTCTTGGCACCCTATCTCGCGAAACAAGCGAAAACGAGAAGACTTTTAGCTTACTTCCGTTTCGAAGTTGCCGCCAACTTTGGATGAAAAGTTTATCAACGAAGATAGGACCTGCTTCATCGCGGGTATTTCTGAAACAAATGCATTTACCGAGTAGATTGTTTCTTGTAGAGTGATAGGAAAATAGCATTGTTACGTCGCACAAATAACTGCGGCAAGTATTCCCTGGTTTCTTTGCGTTTCCGTTCCTGCGCCATTATCATTATTTCCCGGGCCAGGTATCATTATTTCATGGAACAATTTGACGATGTTTTGCTTCGAACAGACATGACATTGTTTCTTTTTTTTTTTTTTTTTAATTATGAAGCATGATTTCACGAAAATCCCGCAGAATCCTTTCTGGTAGACTTGTTAATGAAAAGAGCAAACCATGACTTGAAATTCCCAACTGCAACCATTTTATCCAGCTTCAAATGGTATTTAATTAATGGTATCTTTAAAGTATTACGGCTGAGAGGGTTAATTTCGAGCGACCTTCGAAAACACGATTACCTTAGACGAGAAATTGCCAAGGATTCGCATCATTTCCAATATTGACGAGGTAAATCAAAGATCTGAAACGAGATTCCTAGTTTACGTGTCTCTCGAAGATATTCGTCCCAAGAAACTGGTTAGAAAAAACGAGATGAGGAAACGAGAAAGGACCAAACGAACCAACAGCAAATATTTAAATAAATCTACGAATGTTTAGATAAAATAAATCCTCTCTTTTCCTTCAGATACACGCGGATTGATTATCGCCTCTTTAAGATTTGTTTAAATTCAGAAGAATTTTTGAAGGAACAGTATAAAATTTAGAAAATAAAAATAACGTGAAATGCAAGGAAATTATATTAAAATTGGGGCTCTCTTCATGGTCCGCCGTCCGAGGATTGAGGGCTGATCTCGAGCCTCCTTCGACCTTTCTTATTTTAATTACGTGCATACTTCTGGAAATCAGAGTCACGAAAAACGAAACGCAATACTCGAGAAGTGAGTTTGTGAATCAATATCGTTCTGTAAAAGGTGAACGTTGAATACGTGTACGTCGAGTTGAATCATCTGATAGTAGATTTACCATGAAACAACGACGTATCTAGTAATTTGACATCACGAGTCAAATATGTACCCAGATAATGTATTCTAAATTTGACGTAAATTCATTATCAAAGCATCGACAAGTTCACGTGTTAACAGTCGCCAGTGGGGGGTCAAATATCGTCCACGTCTCGCTCGTCGGCGCCAGAAGTGTCCCAATCTACTGACAAATGGGCCCTTTTCTTCTCTATCTTGTCATCTACAAATAAGACTTACAATTAGATCACGGGATCAAGCACGTTTTTAAGTGATCGATACACGAGTTCATCTTCCAGATATTTAATAAAGAAACTCTTTACAAATTTTTTTATTTTTGTAGACGTTAGAAAAAGGAAAGCATGTTGGAACAGTTGTTCGAAGCATGATCTTGTTGCGTCTCGAATAATTATGTACCGAGAGACAAGGCAGTGATATTGATAAGTGTTATCAAGAAATGGATGGTACGTGCGTACGTGCTCAAGAAGGGATCGAAAATTTGGTCTTTGCGAAACTTTCGTTTTATTTTTATTCTCTGTACCCGTTTCGTGCGATATCGATACGCTAATTAAAGATAATTGGATATTTCGCTCTTCTTTTCGTACCAATTTTTGTTTCGTTACATACTCCTTTAAAATTGGTGAATCTAATTTTTTTATAAAATGAATTAGACACAATTTCAATCAACCTTTTTGATACATCATTTATCTCATCATTAGAATTAAAGACGATCGCAATCTCTGTTGACAGACCACTCTAGAGATATTTCAAAGAGACCGCTCTCATAGATAATGATGTTTTTGAAGTAAAATGTATGCAGTTGATTGAGAAACTAATTCGGCATAAGAATAATTCAAGATTATTTCTTACGTACACTGGCGATCAATCAGGCTTAATTTTGACGTTATTTTCGAAAAAGAGAATAATACTATGTTCAATTATTAAATATTATAAAATTTGGTGTATAATTGAAAAGTATGAATTCAAATTTCTCTACCATAGACTTATGTACGGTGTCCCTTTCGCCACTTTGTTAATTTCTACAGGGTTGCCTATGGGGACATTACTTTCTACAAGGGCATTACCATTTTCCCCGGGAATCATGATTCGATAGCGAGTGTACGTGCCTTGTACTCATTTCGTATGGGTGCACAGTGTTATCGCATTACTATTAACACTGCTACTGAATGGAAAAAATGTCGAAACCTTGAGCTGAAAATTTTGTATTCCTAAAAGTAACTTCTGTTCTCTCGTTGTGTCTCAATTGTTTTGTCCCATACATAGCGAAAGTGTTCGCGACAGCTTGCTTTTAATTTTCGAGCAATTAGCCTCTATTATGTCTATAGAAATGTATTTGTCACACGTACACGTATGTCTTATTACAGTTCACGGAGTGTCGAGTTACAATGTGGCCGACGTTCAACGACGATTGGAGAGCAACGAGGTGATTCGTAAAAGCAATAACAACCACGAACAACACCCGGACGATTCGACAAACGACGATCGCGATGATGAACCAACCGTCTATGTAATCGAGTTCGAATCCGAGTTGAACGAGAAAGAAGAAAGTATGAAGAATACAGGGAAAGATGCGTCTACCGGTAAGCAACCATTGAACTTCTCTTAATTAATTCCTAATCGATACCCCGGTGGTATTAAAAAATCTATGAATAGGCTTCCGGTTGGCAAAGCGTTAACAAAAGAATTCTTTGCTTTCATAAGCAGAAAAATGCTAAACGAATTAGCACACACCGCGTTCGGAGTTCAATACCCTATAACGGTGCCTTTATTCGCTCTAATTTGTATAATTTCAAATCAAAATATTCTCTTTTACATTTCATTGAAAATATGAATATTAATCGCGGTATAATTATCTAAAGCTCCCTGGATACCTTAACGAGCAATAAAATCATAGCACGTACGTTCAATTAATCCAATGGATTATGTGGCTTTTTAATAAATCACTAAGAAAGATTACTAATCCTTTCGTTCGTTTCCATATATTTCCTCAACGCTCTTGAAAACCATCGATTCATTATTGAACGATAAAGCTGTTTAAATAGATGAGTCCCTGATTACTTCGTTGCTAATGTACACACAATTATTAACGTCTTAATTCACCGACGCGAATTAATGAATTAATAATACCTATACCAGACCAAGAACGACGTCTCGCATATGAAATTACGCTTGGTAAGGAACGCGTAAAAATAACTCGCGTATCAGAAGCAATCGTTATCGTTCCGTCATCGGCATCGTTAATGACACAATGGATCCGTTCATCGATTCTACGTGCGATGCTTCGAAAACTTTCTAGATCATTTTTATTCCATCTTCGTAGGATCTCGGACGAAATCGACATCGAGAGCGATCTTTGAATATTTTTTAAACAATCACAGACGATGAAATTTTGCCTCGCATAGGCGCACGTGTTATTTGTGTTATTCTGAAATAATTTAAAATTAGAAAGGGAATGTATACTTTTATATAAAAAAAGAATTGGAAGCTTTCAAATTCCTAAAATTTAATTTCAAGGAAAGTTTCCAGCGCGGGCCGAATTGCGAAAGTGTTAGCTACTGATGACGTTCGAACCGTGGTTATGAACAAGAGCGGAAATATAAAAAAATAAAAATTAGAATATCAATTTTCGAAGCGCATGTTTCGCTTTCGAGCAGCTCGAATTGGACAGTGTTTTTCGTTAATAGCTCAAAAATGAAGCCTGAACTAACGTTTCGGTAAATTCTATTCTTCTTATACCTTGAAAAATATGTGCCAAAGGCATATAATTTTATTCGTATATTAAACAATATAAGAATGATACGAGAAATACTAACAGCTATTATGGTACAGTTAACTCTCATTGAGCACCTTAACGGATCTCGTTCCACTAATTTGCATGACACTTTACCAGACGAGCTAAATCACTTCCAGCATAGAGATTTGCCTTAAATTATCGAGGAATTTATGGCTGTGAACTAATTCTCGAGACGGTACCGTAACGAAAGACGTCAGCAGAGTAAACCAATAACTAACTTCGCCCACTGTGTACGAACATACACATATACGTACGCTTGATTTATTGCTCAACTTCTCTTTAGGGTCACTACCTTGAATATCATTTTAATCAAGTGTTTCTTAGCTTTCTCAGTGCGATTTATACGTGTTACGCGAACAGAATCCTCAGTATGTAAAGTATTTACGCGTTTGAAAAACAAATCAAACCCGTGGGATGAAACATTCATGGAAGATAAATAAATTTTCGAAAATAATCACTGAAAATAAATACATTTTAAAATTCCAGTACACGTGTACCGGAGTATCATTCGAATTATTCTATTTTCAGCAATTACTACTTTAATACTTTGACTATCTCCAAATTTAATCTACTATCTTTGCGATACTTAGATTGTGTCAATCTACTCGGACACTAATTAATACTGATTTCGTGTTCGATCTGTACTAAAAATATCAATATTTCTTTTCGTTTCAGCGGATGGAGATAGCCAGAACCCATTGGACCCATGGTCGATCGTATGGTACATCGGTTCGTTTGGCGGCTTGGTAGCCTTCTTTCTCATAGTGAGCTGTTCGGAATGGTGTTGTCGTCGCAGTGGAAGGACATTAACGGTACCCTATGCCCAACGGGCGGAAGTGATCAACGGTGGACAAGTTGTGACCGAGACTCCACCCCCTCCTTATCACCTGTTCGCGCCACCCCCGTACGATTCCGTCAACTACGGTGAAATCGTGGACAAGACTTCCGGGGAGAAACTAGACATCTACGTGATATCGGTGCCGATTCACCGGCCAGTGGTGCAGGTACCTGCCTAGAATCTCCCCGCGGAGGTCCTCGAGCAGAGGATAATGGCGAGACAAAGAAAATGACACTGACCGTGTCGCAACATATTTATCGATAGACGATTCCCCGGTGTTCTTCGATGGTTCTCCCTTGACTGGGACCCGATTACACATTTTTTTTTTTTTTGACAATCGTCTGTTGATGCCAGGATCGACTGGCTCGTTTGAAACGAGCACGGATCAAGGAGATATGTAACGACGAGCTGTGAACGCAAAAGATGCTACAAGCATCGACTAGAGGAAAATGATTTCTTGATCGAAGATCCCATGGAGTTCCTCGTCGAACGAGGAATGCAAGAAGAAGGTTTAATGAGAACAGCTAAGAGTGTCTATCTTTGGATTGCGAAGCAGTCGAACAACTTTAAAGGGTTAACTATAGAAGGAGAAGAAACGCGAAACGATAATGAAATCTTGAAGGAGAGAAATGCGAATCCATAATGCATGGGTGCGAAGTGAAAGGAATTATTTCTGAGATTATCGAGGAACGAAAATTTCTGTTGTTGCATATCGGAATGATTTTAGGATAACGTGATTTGACATCGATCAATGGTAATTAATACCAACGATCGCGAGACTACTTTTAACCAATTATTTATCCAATCACTGCCCGATCAAATGAATCGTTCGATCTAATCTTTCAGAATGAATGATATACCGATGATTGTTGAGCATTGTTTTGCATTCAGTTTATCTTAGCCAAACTTGGAACAATAACTGCCATATTTTAACGAATTTTAATAAGAACAACTTCGTGAGACGATTTCTCGAGGTCAGGATAATAATTTTACCCGTGCTGCTCTAAGAAGTAAAACAATTTCAACGAGTGTTTCGTGTAATCAGAGGATCGTGATTCTTCGTTTTCTTCGAGCTAGATCAATTTTTGTTAGAACAATTATTCGAATGTTAAGATTACCTCTGATAGGAATGAATTACGCGCGTCATTTTTTCAAATATAATTCAAACGACGGTGTTGGGAAACACGCATGCGTAATTGTCCTTTACAAACCTGAACGAGTTATCAAACGGAACACGTGTGCGAGAGGTTCGAATAATCTCTAATATCGCTACACACGATTAACCTCAATCGTGATCGTTTCAAGCCCGACAATTGCTGATGATTATACATAGACTACGAATTGACTGCCATAAAAAAGAATCTAACCGAAGGGGGTCACGAAAATAGTTGAGAAATAATAATACTGAATATTAAAAATGACTTATTTCGAACATGACGAAGCATTGATTATTTTTTTTGTTTCACGGACGTTCGGATATTTTTGCAAACTGATAACTGTTAAAATGAAAACAACCGGTTGAATATTTGAAATGATCACTGGCAACAGTTTACAGATGGAAAATAACTGACTAATACGTAGCCTTGAACAAGCCCGATTGAACAAATTCGAGTAACACGATTCGCCCTAATTTGTAGGCTTTCTTTAAAAAAATATTCGATGAAACAAGATACGCGTGTATTAGTATTTGATTTACTATCTAATATTTTCTAACATAAAGTATTAGATCCGTTTGAAAAATACTCGAGACATAAATTAGCGTGTTGCGTGAAAGCAACACATTCATTTATGGAATTTAGATTATTTATGAATATCGTCGCGTTTATCTCGGCCATGTAATTTTAACGAATTGATTATCATCGTTCGAAGGGAAGAAATCGACGAACGTACGAGCGCGAATGAATGAAAGTTATTTATGTGGTTAGAGAAATTAATTCTACAATTAAGTATGTACATACGAGGTCAATTATTATTATCGTTATGTGTCTCTAGTGACGATTATTATCATTGGATTCGTAATCGCGTTTTTAAATAGCGATATCAACGCGTGACGATAAATTCGCTCTCATTAAGACTTGCAAGAATCGCAGCACCCTTGCTATTTATTTTTTATACTTTTATACATAATGTTTATACCTGTCTGATCGTCTCTATGTTATCAATAAAATTTCTTTTCTCATAAAAATCTGTGGATTTTATATTTATTTCCCTAAATGCATAAAGTTTATCTCCGATCAACTAAGCCAACGTCATTCTTTACTGAAAATTAACGAAGCATAAAACTATATCAGTGATATAAATTTTTAGTATCATGAAATTTTTTAAACAAACATATCTAGATATGAACTGGTGCAGAAAAAAATAGAAATCTATAAAACGACATCCAAAGTAGTACGTACAAGAACCGCAGATCCCTGTATCCCATGTGTCGGTAAAGTTATACAGTTCTATTATCGTTTTTGGTAATACAGTGTCATATTCTACGGCATTATACAAGCATACTTACATAATTAAACAATACTAGCCAAGCATTCATTATTAATAATTTTCTTTCCGTAAAATTGTAGTTGCAATGTGGTACACTTCACAATCTCAATGGCATAGTTCCTGAAAAAAAATAATAGAGATTAAATAGCAAAAAAAAAACATAAACTTCGCAGCCAATTCGCTCGTATTATTTGCTGCATAATTAATAAATGTACCATAGAAATAATGATACAGTTATTAATTAGTCATCAAATAATAACGATTGCCCAGGTCTCACCACGGGGAGGTTGCTGCGGGTGGAGACCCGCCCTACCTCATCCCATCCACCCTCCATTTATGCAAATTTTTATTTTCATTCAATATCATCCTCTTGATGCACATTTGCAAAACGTTTTTGACTGTTGTGCAAACGAACAACAAAAGGAGCATTATTTTTATTTACTACCTACCTATCTACTTATCTATACATATATCTACGTATATTTTTGCTTTATATTCCTATCGCAACATTTCTTAACTTTGATTTTGATTACAGATCTGTAATTAATAAATATGCAACTGCATATTTGTCCTACATACTTATATTATTAAGAATGCCTACCTAAACGAGCGCTCGTAATTATATTAACACTAAATGTACCGAGATTTAATATATACCTATTTGTACTGCAACAAATAAAAATATAAATAAATGATGTAAAATTAATTGTATATATTTAATAGAAAAAGTCATGAAGACAAATGTGAAAAAGCGATAACATTTTATGCAAATTTTCTAATCAAAAGTTTACAACCGGTCATGATACGTTTAGTGTTAAAAATTCGCTTAAATCTAACACTTCCTAATAGTGTTTGACGATTACATCTTAATCACCATAAAGTCATTATAACGTCATATATAGTCTACATAAAAATTTAAAGGGATATACATAAATAAGTACAATGAATTTGTTGATTTTGTTGTCCTCACCAAAATACTTCTTGAAACAAACTGAAAAGGATTAAACATAAATTAAGATAATAATGAGGCTCATGTAGCCTTAATCACAAATTTACAACCTGCTTGAAATAAACAGAAAATGATTAAATACAATTTTCGAAAATAATACGGTTCAGATATTACCACTCATAAGAATCACTTTCCCTTTTCAATCATTTTCACCTTGTTGTACTTAATTGAATAGATTGAATTCCATTTATAGATGCTAGATTTTATATTACATTTCTTCCATTCTATTATCCTATATTATTAATTCACACGTCCTATAAAGATATTTCTCTGCAACAGAAACTCATTAATCGAATTCATACAAAGAGAAAAAAATGTAATACCTGAAAAGAAGATACATTAGTAACAATAAAATTTCACAAAAATCAAAGTAACGGTTAACGAGTCATTTCCAAATAAGAAAACATCAATTAGACACAAAATATGAATTAAAAACGAATTTCAGTACCAAAATAAAAGCAGACAAAGATTTATAAAAAAAAATTGTTATTAAGTAAGTGATTTCCAATAATATATAAAATTTTAATTGAAACAACTGTCTTTTACTGCAATATACGTAAGTACAACCATGATTCTACTTGACTTTATTGCATTATATTATTCAATACACGTTTCAATGCAAATTTATTGTAAATGGAAAAACTGAAAAGAAAATCACGAGTGGACTTTGCTTTTCAGGAAAAGAATTTGAAAATTTATAAAAGTAATTTAATTAGCTTCTCCGTAAGCTTGAAACGAAACATCGTACACAACTTCAACAACAACCATCCACTTTTGTTTAAATAAAGCAGAATTAAAATCTAATAAGCTATTTCAAATGAACAAATATTCCTTGAAATAATTTATCACCAATCACAAAATAAAATGAATTTCCATTTTAAATAAAACTTTGAATATAGTTCTATTTAAAACTTTATCGTATTTAATAATATTCTGAAAACATTAAATTCATATATTATTTAACAGTATTTCCAATAACCGAATGCTTAAAATTTTCAAAATTAAAAAAAGGGAAAAAAAAGAATGGGGGCGTGGCAGTGGGAGGAAGGGTATAGGGGAACCTGAAAAGAAAAGTTTGACTGCCCATAAGAGCAATCCCTAAGCAAACCCTATAAAACAAACCGAAATCACACGCAACACTAATTTTAAAATTGCAAACATTCTGAACTATGACAAAACATCGGCTGGCAACGAAGGGTCTCACGCCCCCTAGACTTACGCCAGACGCTACATACCATCCACCCCGCCTGGACGTCGTAACGCCAGGACAGAGTGCACCCCTTCGCTAAGAGCGCTACCCGCCCGTCCAACACGTTGCATCCAACGGTGTCAGATTGACGGACGCCCATAGTATAGACAAAAGGACTGCAGTTTAGAATATAGTAACATATTTTCATATGTTCCGTATTCTAAAACTGCGCCTGCAAAGGCCTAGTAATGCATGGGTATATCTCCCAGAGATGGTGTTCACGGTCTTAGGCCGCGGAATCCTTGACTAGCAATGGATTCCCACCGAATGTGAGTCATAGTTACTTCCACTAATTTAATAACAATCGCGAATTCAGTCGCAACACTAATTTCATTAATTATATAATATGTACAAAAGCGTACGCGTGAAGGCTGCTCCATTATACGCAACACTAAGCTGAAAAAAAGAAAAAAAGAGAAAACGCGAGCTGTAACGCAACACTACTCAAATCTACCGAATTTTATAAGACGCAACACTAATCTAAAAAAGGGGTACAGCCAATCCAAGGCTGTACCACGGCAGCTGGTCCATAGCTACCTTATGGACCATGGCAACTCCACTGGGTCGTTTTGGGGCATTTCTAATGCAAAACGCGAATATTCATTACCGCAACACTAATTAGCAGGGAACTCTATAAACTAATGTAAAGCAATCGCGTATTTATAAGTCGCAACACTGGGAAACAATCGCGCTAATGTCATTCGCAACACTATCTTTAACAGATATGCAATTAAAATGCAGAAAAGGGGATTCTCAAACCGTGAATTTTTTACTCGCAACACTAATTTCATTAATTATATAATATGTACAAAAGCATACGCGTGAAGGCTGCTTCATTATACGCAACGCTAAGCTGAAAAAAAGAAAAAAAGAGAAAACGCGAACTGTAACGCAACACTATTCAAATGTACCGAATTTTGTAAGACGCAACACTAATCTAAGAAAGGGGTATAGCCAATCCAAGGCTGTATCACGGCAGCTGGTCCATAGCTGCCTTATGGACCATGGCAAATCCACTGGATCGTTTTTGGGCATTTCATCATATATCGCAACACTAATGCAAAACGCGAATATTCATTACCGCAACACTAATTAGCAAGGAACTCTATAAACTAATGCAAAGCAATCGCGTATTTATAAGTCGCAACACTGGGAAACAATCGCGCTAATGTCATTCGCAACGCTATCTTTAAGAGACTTGCAATTGAAATGCAAAAAAAGGGGATTCTCAAACCGTGAATCTTTTACTCGCAACACTGAAGCAATGAACATTAAAAAGCAAAACTCTCAAAAATCTTAAAGCAATCAACATTGAAAAGTTAAATTCTATTTTAAAGCACTGCAAGAAAGAAACGCGATATTTAAAGTTCGCAACACTAAATGAAAATCGCGAAAATCATGCATACGCAACATTAAATTGAACCGTGATCGATATTCATTCGCAACACTAAATTGAACCGTGGTCAATATTCGCAACACTAAATTGAAAACGCGATTTGCCCAAAATCATGGGGGTCACGGGCCCCCTCTTGTCCTGAAATTACAAAACTACAACTACAGGCAAGCACAGTGACAAAGTAGTAACGATAATGATTTCCCATCCTTTTTTGCAAAAGGATGCAAAATCATTAGTAGTTCCCCTCTTGAAAGACAGTTTGTCGGGGCGCTTCGGCATATAGCCTTTTCTTTCTTCGGGCGGTCCACCCACCTGAAACTTATATCTAAAGCTCGAGACTTGCAAATTCGCAAAACAAAAAAAAAACAATCAACAAAAAAGAAAAATCGCGAAACTCTAATTGACACGTGGACGAAAAAGGACTTTATATAAGTCGTTGTTCGTGCACACATGTCGTGCTCGAGCAGAACTTGTGCGTTTCGTGCCATTGCGATCGCGTATGACGACTTATGAAGTCGCCAAAAATTTGAAAAATTGTACAGACAGAATCGAAAGCGAACGGCATACTCCGTTCGTCGATTGTATCGTCAATTCTTCAAATATATTCCAGGTACAGGTTGATCACGCGAAATCGCGCCTACCCGACCAAGAGACTGTGACAACCTGCCCCGGCCCTACCTACTTATAATCTATCACACACACCAGAAAGTATACTACCTACCTACCTAACGCTATATTTAAAAAAGGCAAAATCACATTCTCACAAAAATTCATTCCACGACCCCCATACACTCCACCCGGGCGCAAGAGCCTAAACTAGGGAGAACGTCCCGGGACGCCTCCGTCACCCGAGTTTCATCTCACATCACACTCTACGGTACGTACCATTTTTCACTGAAATCGTCTGGCAAGGCTAGCAATCATTGCGTATAATGATAATTACAAAATTTAATTAACTACTTTAATATTGAATATTTCATAGTAATGGTAATAATCATGGTAATAGTAATGATAACAATAGTATTTGGTTTATACGTTCATCGTACATCTTGTTGAATAAAATATTATTTCAAATTAAAAGTAAATGAAAAAGTTATTAAACCGACGCAATCCCACAGCCTAAAACACACACACCATATGTGGAGATTACGTCGTGCACGATATACTAACACAATGCCAGCCGCTTATTAATTATTATTCTTATGAACTAGGTCATCGTGCCCATTGCCTCTACCCATCCAAGTAGCACCTGGGCACGTGAATGGGCTTTGGCAATAAACACGGAAGGGGTTAAATCTGAAAATCCTGATCTACAAACATGATTAGTACATAAACATCTAACGGGCTAATATTTCACTATTTTAATAAAAATGACTCGACTTTGTAAATATAAAGCTTTAAGAACAAATATTGAAAAGCAAAATAGAGCAACTATGACGCAAACATGGTGCACTGGTAATATCAGCTGGCAACGAAGGGTCTCACGCCCCCTAGACTTACGCCAGACGCTACATACCACCCACCCCGCCTGGACGTCGTAACGCCAGGACAGAGTGCACCCCTTCGCTAAGAGCGCTACCCGCCCGTCCAACACGTTGCATCCAACGGTGTCAGATTGACGGACGCCCATAGTATAGACAAAAGGACTACAGTTTAGAATATGGTAACATATTTTCATATGTTCCGTATTCTAAAGCTGCGCCTGCAAAGGCCTAGTAATGCATGGGTATATCTCCCAGAGATGGTGTTCACGGTCTTATGCCGCGGAATCCTTGTAACTAATTTGATTAATTAAATAATAAGAAGGATTGAGTTTAAAAACCAAAAGGATTCCCACCGAATACTAGTCAGTGCATCGTCATATTTACTCTCGCGCTGGAAATTTTTCGCAACACTAATTTAAGAAATGCAAAATTTTAATAAAAAAGAATTTAATGTCTTTAATTAAGAATTCTTTGCAATGAAACAAGAATTTGTTGTGAAAATTAATAAAACATCCTCGGGTGACTCCCTCCTCAGAGTAAATTTTCAAGAATACGCAAAATGTGTTGAAATAGATCACTCTGAGTTGGAAATCTACCCGTCACGAATTGTCTTCTTGCACATAAATTGTTCATTTTTTCATGAACGTGTAAATAAGTTATACTTCGTTATTGAATGAATGAAATTTTAAAAAATTCTCAAATCATATTTGAATTTATAGTGTACAAAATGTAATTAAATCAATGTAATAGCATCATTACAGATTACATAATACTATCAATATTGTATTGCTTTGAACCATTGCAATAATTAAGTCAGATAGTATTTGACTTCTCTATTACAGACAAACTAAATAAAATTGTTTCGGTATTAAAATATTCTAATTCCACAGTTAAGAATATTTAAGAGCATTCATATATTTCAAAAATATCTATTAGAATATGTGGAATTGAAATGATATTAAAACGCGGAGTACAAGAAGACCTAGCCTAACTAAATGAAATGAAACAATAAAAATGTTACTACTCATGGGTATGTATAATCATACCCATGGTCACTATGCTTGCCAAGCACGTATACAACTAGTAGCCCGTGTCGATTCGGACCATTCGTCCTACGACATGATTGGGCACCAGAGGAACCATAAAACATGCGACTCACCGTTCGCAGATATACTCTTCTTCCGACAGTCAAGTAGGAGGATGGACAACACCAGGTAGGAGGCTGCCTTGCAGGAGAATACTGAAGTCGTGAAGAAATTCATCTGTAACAAAAAAAAAGAAGAATTACGGTTAATTTTGAAAATGATCAATTTTTATTCTAATAAAATTATATATGCAATTGAATTTTATAAAATATTAGCAATTAAAAAGAAATCTCAATTATCAAGGGTTGAAATTGTAAATGATTCTATTTTAATAAAAAGCAATTAAGTGACGTACCAAGACGGAAGTCGTGAAGAAAGCCATCATCAGGACATCCAGGAACTCGGCAATCAAAAAATTCATCTGTAAAAAAGATTTACGGTTAATTTTGCAAATTATCAATTTTTATTCTAATAAAATTATATATGAAATTGAATTTTATCAAATATTATCAATAGCAATTAAGAACTCTCAATTATCAAGTATTGAAATTGTAAATTATTCTATTTCAATTAAAATTAATTAAATAAAGTAATAAGATACTTACACTCTTTCCTTATGGAGCAACGCCCAAAACTTCTCTTCAGTGGTGCTTTGACTCTAATCCCGAATATATCGAGCAATTAAAGAAAAAAAAAAGAAAAAAAAATAAAGATATAAAGTAACGCGACCGTGAATAATTTCCGGCGAACAATTGTAATGACTCTACTTTCACGATGAAAAAGGAAAAAGCAGAGCCGCGATGCTCTAAAGAATATTTTATAATCCGCAGCAAACACTGACTCTACTTTCGCGTGATTCCTAATCATACAAACGCAACTCTATTCTGGGCCAGTTCGCCCTTGCAAAAATCAAAACATTGGAAGTAATATTCGTACAAACACTGACTCTACCGACCGCATTGCGCGCGGCCACAACAATTCCTGAAAGAAAAACTTAGTAAACAGGGATGGGCTGGGTGGAAATATACAAAACAACATTCTTCCTATTAAGCGTTCATAACGGAAATACTGTTATTAATGGCTTGTAAATGAAAATATCTATGTACATGAAATATATTCGACGAGTACAAATGTTTTTAAAGCTGAATATTGATCCTAGATTGAAATTAAATGTTTTAAATAATTGTTGATAATTATTTCAAGGAATTTTTTCATCGATAGAAAATCATTTTGTAATAAAGATAATAGAGTATTGTATTAAAGCAGAGGATTTCTGTTGTTAAGATTGTAAGCATACTACAAATTGTTGGAAATTCTATTTATTACGGCGTAATTTAAAAATTATCTAATTCTTTACAATAAGCAAAGTCCAATAATTAACCATGCTTAAACAACATGAGATTTAATACCATGATTCTATTTTAATTTAAACTTGCACCGAAAGCTGTTTATTATAATACAATTATAATACAATGTATTAAATTACTACACGAAATTATTTGTTTAAAAGAAAAATTTCTCTAATCTTTTCCTTGACCTTGGTACCAATTAATTATCAAGAATGCTTACAATTAACGACTCAATAAAAAAAAAAATAATAATAAATGTTAATAATTGATTATAATGGATAAAAACGTTACGAATTCTTTACGAAATTGTATTTCAAACGAATGTTAAGTGTCATGGCGTCGTATTGCGTAGCGTCCTTTTCAATACCAATAAAATACCTGTAACAAATAAGAGATACAAATTTATTTAAATAAAATTTAGTCAATAACAATAAAATTATTATTAATATTAATATAATTTATGAAAAATATTTTAATAGGTGAACTACGTGTACCTATGAACTAATACGGATCACGCTCTAAACACGTCTTACATCTCCGAGGTTCGCGAAGAGAATGACGCGACCTTCCTTCCCGGCAGAGACCGGTTGGTACGTTCGGTGCTATTGCGCATGCGCTGAGCGAGATGGGAGCATGACGATCGCGACATGTACATACATAGCATATTAATCGCTAACCGGTACGCATGCGTTCAATGCGTTCAATTTTCACAATTTAAAACAATAAGTTATGGGAAAAAGTACCAAAAACATAAGAAAATTCAATAATATTTCAGAAATTACCGATATAAAAGGGAAATAATTAAGATGACGCTGTTTCAACCTCAATCTGAATTCGCGAAAAAACTAACAAACTTTTCCTCACGCATTTCTGAAGGCAATGTGGAATTGATGTCAGAAATGATGAAACCAGTCTTCTCTTCAACTTCTTTTGTTCTGCGTACTTCTGGTATCTAATACACAGTTTAATATAATATTTTAATACAATTTAATCTCACTTTGTTATAAATGCGTACATTCACGACGAAGTTGCGGGAGAAAGTGACGTAATAAGTCAGACCTGCGCACTTCACCGATAACAGTGATTCTGATTGGTCGAAATGGGACAGCCAATCACCATCATTGAAGAGATGATATGCATGCAAATATAGCAAATAATATGCAATTGCCTCTTACATCAGTTAGGAACTGTATGTGTAATTCACTTTTTAATCTTCATAAAAATCCCATGTATTAAGTTTTTGAATATTCTGTTAAAATGAAAATAAATGGATTACATAACAGTCATTACAAATATTAACAATGGACAATAACTTAACTTAGAGTTTTAAAAATATAACCTAGTCATGGATTATTTAGGCGAAATTATAGCCTTAGGCATTGACAGTATCATTTTTGGTGTCTGCATGAAACAATATTTTCACTGTAAAAATGCAATTGCTGCAGTAAAGGTAAATAAATGTTCATTAACTAAATATATTAAGCTAGTGTTCTGTTTATTTGATACCTAACCTTAATACCATTGCAACGTTGCATGCTAAATTTATAACGATATGTGTAATGTTTAAAAAATACTTCCAAACCTTCAGTTTCTCTGCAGGATGCCGAATTTCACGAAGTTGGTCCGCAATTGGGAGAGCTTGTTGATAAAAGTCCCGATAATAAAATAGGCTACATTGCTATTAGGGGTATTGTAAAACCCTTAGGAAAACCATTAAATAGCATCAATAACAAAAAATTAACAGGTGTTGTACAGAAACTGAAGATTAAAGAACATGTTGTGGCTAGAACTACTGCTGGTTTTTGGTACAATTACATCTTTTTTAACTCTGAACGAAGTTAGAACAAATAATATTCAGATTTATTAATACCTAGGTCAGATCAGGAGCGAACTGTTCATAAAGTATATAATACAGTACCCTTTGCTTTACAAAGAGGTGCTCATTCTATAGAGATAATAGAACCATTGGCAGCAGATATCTTAGATTTGGATGTGGTATCTGATACTTTTGAACCAAGTGTACCATCATTTGCAGATCATTTATGGGGCTTTTTCACAGGTATAAAATGATTGTTCCATACTATTTTATCAATGTGTTGCTTTACAATACAGATGTTTCTTAGGAGTAAGGCAACGTGGTTTGCAATCTACCGAAGAGTTGCTTAGGGAAGGTGCAGTTATGACAGGTATAGGTGAATTAACAAGAGTGAAGTCTAAAACACTAGTATTACAACCTCCATTAAATGGCACACCTTTTTACTTAACAAGCATGTCAATTAGTTCTCTGATTCGCAAATTGGATGATCGTAAACGAACATACAGGTGAGTTTTATATTTTGAATAATATACAAACAGGTTTTTAAAATACCTTTTTATGCTGTAGAATGCTGTGTATAATGTTTGGTGCAATTGGATTGTTAATTGGTGGAATAGTCTTTCGACGTTATTGGAAGGATAGATCAGAACAGAGAATAGCAGAAGAACTGAGACAATCTCTTGCTGCATCTCGAAAAGAAAGACGGCAAAGAGTAAGAGACACGGATCTTAGAGAAGATCAGTTGTGCGTTGTTTGTCGCACTAATCCACGTGAAATTATTCTTCTTCCCTGTGGACATGTTTGCTTATGCGAAGATTGTTCTGATGATATTCTCAATGATTGCCCTGTTTGTAGGGTACCAATTACACAAAAAGCTGCAGCATATATCGTCTAACATCCTATAAAATAGTTTCAAAAGAATGATTTATTACCTCATACAGAACAATGCTCTAATGAATGAATAAAAATTAAAAAAATGCTGTAATTTAAAACTACGAATTTTTACTTTTGAATAATAAAATAGTTATTCAAAGTGTTTAAAATTAGTTTCGATCTAAAATTATCTATTATAGAATTAACAATTCCCAATTAGTATTTAAAATAATTAATTACCAGATTATTATTAGTACAATGAAAAGTACGATCCTGAACGTCACAGCATCATATATTTAAATTTAATAGTACATATATAAAAAAACGTCAGAAATCTATATTTTTTAATCTACTTTTATCATCATTTTTAACTTTACTACCTCCCTGATCTTTATTTACATTTGAATCCATTATTCGTTTCACTTTAGTAGATTTTCCAATACCGAGTTTTGGTAATCCTCTGTTCAAACCTTCCAACATGATACAAGCTTTACATATTTCCTGGCTTGAAATAAATCCACAACGAGAACAATTTCGTCGCTCGGGCATTTTAACAGTATCTTTAATTTGTAATGTTTCTCCTGTAAAAACATATATTGAATGCTAAACAAATATTTTTATGCTTAAACAAAATAATTACAACTTTAGCTACCAGAATGAATTATATCCAATATAGCGGAAGGTCTAATTTTTTCTAGGTCCTTAAGAAATGTTCTTGCATGTCCTCTGTATGCATTTGGTGCAAATACACATTCTGTTGAAAAATACACCAAATGTTTAAAATATGCATACATTACTATCTCTTTTTCATAAGCATATTTCAATGGTTTGCATCGTCTAATGCAATCAGCTCCTGCCTGTATTTCAATCAAAACATTTATTATTAACAAATATAAGGTTCTTTCTTCTTTGTAGTGAAAAATGATGTATTTAAAAATCTTACTGTGATAATTGAAGTACATCTTTGTAATCTTGCAATGTCACCACGTAAGATATTCATTAATACTGTTTCTGCTATATCATCTGCATTATGTCCTGTTGCAATACAATCTACATTCAATAAAGCAGCACCCCTATCCAATGCTTGTCTTCGAAAAACTCCACAGAATGTACAATTATTCTTTTTTCCAATCTATATTCAAAACATTGCTAAATAACAAATGTAAATAATTTTAATATAAAATTGGGTATTTATATATTCATACTTCTGCTACAATTTCATCCATTGTCCATCCATATAATTCTTTATAAGATAATATTTTCAATGGTAACCCATAATCATCTTTATTTTGTTGAACAGTTTTCAAACTATCATCCCTATACCCTAAAATAATAAAGATTTCTTATAAAATGATGTTTAAAAACATTCAGTATTATAGTTCTTAATTATTATACCAGTAATTCCTTCATCAATGGATAAAAGAAACAGTTCAATTCCATATTTGTAACGTTCATTTAAAGTTTTCAACACATATGCAAGTACTGTAGAATCTTTTCCACCTGATGCTCCAATAGCAACTTTATCACCAAGTTTAAATAATTTACCTTCTACAATAGTGTTATGAATTTCATTTTCAAAAGCCAAGAAAAAACATTCTTTACATAAAGCATGTCCAGTCTTGGGTCTCTGTAAGAAAATGCATATTTTTTTTCATGTATTTCTGTGATATGTTATATCACAATAAATTAATCATTTTATTTACTTTGAGAATAGCATTTTTTCCACAATTTGTTGTACACTGAACTGGCATTTTGATTGCAGTGTATTAACTATTTAATTTTTTTTCAACTTTATCTTATTGAAATGTGATTTAATTCATTCGTACAAAGGTTAAAATCAGTTTCATTAATCTAGTTAATCTATTTCTTGTACATGTAAAAATAACTTTAAGATATAATTAAATTAGTATCTATGTGACACAAAAGCAAGAAGAATTATCAAATGTATACAAAAATAGTAAAATGTTTTAAATCTAATGAGTTTCACAACAGATGTTCAAGCTGTTTAGTCTTCTGGTTTCTCTGGAGGTGGACCACAGGGCTGAAGCATTTTTTCCATAAGATTAAATCGAACACGTGCTTTTGCTTCGTTTTCTGCGATGGCGAAGAAATTCAGCAAATCATAATGTCCCATGTAAGAACTACAAGAATCACGATGTTGGTTCACAAGCCATTCAAACTTGGTTGTGTCAGCGTGCCCGGTGCCTATATATTTTGACTGTAAATGCTCTAGCTGACTATGAATGTTGTAACGTTCTCCCATAATTTATTTTACTTTTTCAATAATAGCAAAATTATTATGTTACGTTTAATTACAATACAGTTTTAAAACCTTTATTAATACCATAGAGAAGGCACACTATAGACTAAATCTCCTTATGAGAATTCGTGACTATGTGCCAGGTGTTTTGTTGCGCACTCTATGCTATCACTATAATATTTCATTTATACTCATAATTCTTACATTTAATGATAAGTATTCAACTGTAGATGTATTTATATATTTATACCCAAGTATAATAAATAAATTTAAATCGACCAATTGCATCAAGTATAATAATATTCAAGATTATTCCGCAGTTTTAGATATTTTCCAGTTAACCGGTAGAGCGCAGCACTTACCGCTTGTTACATCAGACAATAATGACGTGCTAATGGTTAATGGCTTCTACTTACTTCAGCTACCTTTATGAGAAAGCCAAATACAATCCAAAGAAAATTCATGAGATATGATGCATCGGCTTTTAAAATTATAAAAATATGATTGCCTGAACATTTAACTGTTACAATAGCTATTAATTTTTATTAAATTTTACTCGTGGCCTACGAAATATGTGTTGAAATTGTTTACTGAACAACGAACGTAACCATTACACTCATCGCTACGTTGGATCAGCTCGATGCAAAGAAACCCAACATTCAGTGTGATATCACAAGATCCATATTGCACGTGAGTACTAATATTCGTCATAGATTTATAATGTTTATAAAAATAAGAACTAATTCCCTTTTGTGAAAACTGGGCAACTCCCTTTCTACCCAGTCGTTAACAATGGCGGCTGTGCTAGGTTCAATGAAAAATTATTTTCCCCGCAATGTTCTTTGAATTAATTAAATGTAGATATGTATATGTTTAATGAATTTTGCGTTTTCATTTGGAGAATGTGACAATTTATTGAAAGTCACCATGTCGTACACTTGTTAAAAAATTCTGTTGTGTCGAAAATACTGTTACGTCGACTAATTTATGCATGTGCATGTCCGTGTGTCTTCCTACATGCGTGTATTATATATGTGCGCTATATCCATGACGATCGGTATTAAAGTATAGAAGAGAATAGAAGTATTCATATTTAAAAAATTTTTTTACTCCTATTGGAATTGAGGTAGGTATTGCAAACAGTTGATGATATATAATATGTATATGTATAAAGCAAAATTTCATTGAATTTTGATTTCTGTTATATGTTAATTTTCACTCGTTTTTGTGTTATATTTAATTTATTAAACCTATAATAATATTTAAATGTTTGTTTTAATAAATTTATTTTATTGCTATTTTAATGATTGTGCTTGTAAACAAGATGTTACGTAAAAAGCATTCTATTCCATTTAAATGTATGTAATTTTTCATAACAAAAAAAACACACTACAATGAATGTTTCTATAAGAAATTGTATAGTAATAAATCAGAGTACTTACAATATTTGTGTTGATGTTTATGTATTACAGTAGGTGACATGCCTAGCAGCCGTGATATTGAACGAGCAGAACGTAATGGAAGATTTCGTTCTCGTAGAAGAGGTAGTAGCAGCAGTGATATAAATCGTCATAGTTTTGAAGGGCTTGATAAGAAGCATAGAAGGCATGGGAAAAGTAAAAGTTCTGGAAAAAAGAAGAAAAAAAGGTCAAGAGATAAATCCATAGAAAATGTTCCAACTGTAGCATCTTCCATTGTTAAACCTTTGGTTGAATACTCAGATGTGAGTAGCGAAGATTTGTCTGAACCAGAAGCAGGAGAAATTCAGTCAGAAGATAGTAGGGGTAATAGCTATACAGATGGAGAAGTACCTGAGCCAGTTTTGCAAAGACGTTATTATGGTGGAAGTCCGGTGCGTGCTCTTGGAGCATCCCCTATTAGTCTTTCGCCATCTCCACCTGTTCAGCATAGGCATTCTAATAGACATTATTCACCAAATGAACAACAGCCTTCGCAATTGCACAGTGGAACGCCTGATTATGAAGAGGAATCTAGACGATATGCGAGAAGAAAAGAAAAGAAACACAAACGGGAGAAGAAAAAGAAGAGAAGTCTTAGTCCTTCATCGAGTTCTGGAAAAAAGAAAAAACGAAAGTCTAAAAGACATTCTCATAGTTTAAGTCCGCATCGTATCCCGGATGAAATTATTATTAGTCCAGAACATGAGAAACCAGTCGGAAACTGGTCAGAGTCTCCGCCTTTGCCATTAAAAGATAGTACCTCGCCGATATCGCCTGCAACGCCTCAAGAACAAAGATGCATGAGCGATGTAGAACTCGAAATAACAAGGCAACCCCGAAATGTAACCCCTCCTCCACTTCCCCCAAGGCCGACTGAATCTCCACATACTCCTTTATTACCGCCAAGAACGACAACGCCGGAGAGCAATAAAGCAAATTTATCAACGATGAAACATACTCCTGAAAGGCAAAAGCATAGTCCTAGTATTCATACCCGTCGTAGTAGCATTAGTCCAGGGCCCACGATTGGTTCAAGTCGAAGGAGACCTCATAGTCCAAGTCCACCATCAAGAAGAAGGGACCACAGCCCAACAAGAAGAAGAGATTTTAGTCCAAGTCCAATGGTGCATAGACTCAGGCATAGTCCTAGCCCTACAAGACGGCGGGAGTTCAGTCCAAGTCCTGTGAGCCATCGACGTAGAGAACCTGTTAGTTCACCATCGTCGAGTAAACGTAGAAGGCGGGAAGAGTCCGAACGACGACATCGGCATCATGAAAAAGATAGAAGGGACAAAAGAAAGTCAAGATCAACGAGAAGTCCTACTGGTAGCAGGTATTATATATTATATGTGAACTATACGTGTAATATATAATCATTTGCTTTCAGAAATCAAGTAAATTATTTTTCAGATTGCATTTACCTCTTTCTCGTTCGCGGTCACGAAGTCCTGGAAGGTGGCGAAAGCCATCGCGCTCGAGATCGCGTTCACGAAGACGAAGTCGTACTCCAAAGAAATCCCGTTCTCCAAGCAAATCTCACAAATCAACGCGAAAACACAAATCAAAGAGTCCTCGACCTTCGAGGATACCTTCTCCTTCTCCCCATAGACCTCGAGCAAGAAGTCCGTCAAGTATCACGGCAAGGAACCTAGAAATACAGGCAAAAATTAGTGAGACTAGTTTATTCGCTGAGCTGGTAAAAGATAGAAATATGAGAGAATTAGCATACAAAAAATTACGGGCAGCCAAAGAAAAGGCTGTTAATCAGGATGAAGTTCAAATTATAGAAGGCACCGATGAGAAAGACGGTGGCAGTGCATCTTCTGAAAAAACTGACAATAAAGACAAATACCTAAATCACAAAGAGCAATTAAAGCCAAACGAAAGTATAAAGTCCGTTGATCTTGTGGATATTCCAGTTCCAATGTCAGATGATAATGGTATCGCAGGAAAGACACCTCCATTACCAATGGTACAATCTGTAAATGTACCAAGCTTGATGGCCGGAGCTAATCAACATTCTTCAAATATTGTATATACTTCATCTATAACAATTACATCTAGTTGCGCAGTGGCTGTAACAAGCAGTCCAAGTTTTCCAACTGCTACAAATGTACAAGCACCGCCATTACCACAATCTGATCCTGCGAACACTGCGGGTCTACCACACGTATCTATGCCAGTGCCTATTCCTGTACCAGTACCTGTTCTCCCAAATTTATCTGTTCCTCCACCACCTATACCTATACCAGTTCCAGCGCCGAATACAGCTATGTCTAAATTCAATTCTCCTAATAATTTAGTTCCTCTAAAGTCTGTAGATCCTCCTAAACCTCCTATCGTGGCATTTAAAACAAAAAGTTTATCGAGATTGCCATTACCACCCGGAATTAATCAAAATGATTTAGAGAGTATAGACTCGCCACCAAGTCGGTCACCAAGTCCGCCTAGCAAAGCACAGTTGAAGTTTCCTGCTTCAACCACAAAACCACCGCAGAAGAAAAGTATTAAAGATCTCCCTATGCCACCAGGTGATTTGATATTACTATTATTTTAAATCAATCTGTATAGTTTTATTATGATTCGTATAATATTTATTGTATTCATTTAGTTGTTCCTGGCTCGGAAGATTTAAGTGGAGAGGATGATCCTAACGCAACACCACCGCGTACGAAAGTTGAACGTGTTCCACCGAAACCAAAATTGAAAAGGCCAAAAATATTGAAACGTAGAGGTTCTAGAAACTGTCACACTCCTATGTCCGCTTCAGGTGGTAAAGACTGGGGAGAACGTTGCGTGGATGTATTTGAAGTCATAGCTCAAATTGGGGAGGGTACTTATGGACAAGTTTATAAAGCCCAAGATAAACGAGCTGGTGTGTTGGTCGCATTGAAGAAAGTTCGTTTAGAAAACGAAAAAGAAGGGTTTCCCATCACAGCTGTACGCGAAATTAAAATTTTGCGTCAACTTAATCATAAGAATATCGTCAATTTGAGGGAAATTGTCACCGATAAACAGGATGCTTTAGACTTTAGAAAGGTATATTAAAATTGATTAAATAAGAATAACAATTATTAAATACGAATTAGATTGTAGACTATTTTTTTTTTCACAGGACAAAGGCT